CATATCGAACGTTTCATTTGGATCGTTCCAGATTAAACCCTCTATCAATACAATTTTATTATAATAGCTGCCAATAAATGTCTCTTAGTGAACCGACCAAGAAATAGTCATGATAAAAAATAAAAATAAATTCAATGGAGGCTTTTCCCCCCAAAATACCAAAAAAAAAAAAACCCCAAAAACATTATTTAAACAATCAATTGTACCTGAACTCACCCTGGCCCGGCTGTGGGATCCCCCGGCTGCTCGCACTCTGCACAGGCTCAGAGCCAACCTTGCTAATCTGGATGCCCAGGCAGGGGGAAAGCGGCGCCAGGCAAAACCGAACATGGCAGCCTCGACTCCCCTGAGAGTCTTAAGTTTAAGCCTTCGGAGTGTGGGAGTTCAAGTCCCCAAAAGCAACTTTGAACACACACAACCCAGGTATTTGCCTTCCCATTGATGCGCTCAGGTGCTGCTTGCTCCTGCCTGGCTCGGTGGGCGGCACTCCGCTCACACTGCCTTTCTGGGTTCCACGTGGGCTGGGTGGGCATGGCGGATTGCCGAGCAGCCACTGCTGCGGTGGGATGGGGCAAGGGCTGCGCTCCAACACCGGTGGCAGGTAATAGGGGGCGGGTGAGTGGGGGCAGGGAAAGATGGGGGGTTCCATGCACTTCTCCCCCTCCCATCCAAAATTATAAATATACAAAAGCCTGACATTCTAAAGATTTTATCTTTGCCTGCCGGACGGAGGACACTGACATTTTAAAGGTTTTACCTTTGCCTGCCAGACGGAGGACATTAGACTAAAAAGGAGGACATGTCCTCCTTTTGCCTGACAACCCTATGTGTTGGGAGGGAGAAGCGCCTAAAATCACACAAAATAATCTTCTACAAACTGAGCCTTTCTCGTCAAGGAGGTTTAAGAAGTCCTTTTTTCTGACCCTATGTGTTGGGAGGGAGAAGCTCCTAAAATCACGCAATATGATCTTCTACAAAGTGAGCCTTTCTAGTCAAGGAGGTTTAAGAAGTCCTTTTTTCTTGGCCCATATCATCCAGTGAGTTGTTGAATATTAATATGACTCCAGTTCTGCTTTTGTAGTGTAACCACTAGGGCAATGTTGCTATTTAACAGAGTGATGTTTCAATAAAAATAAACAAACAAACAAACCATATGTAGGAGCAAATAGGAAGCAGAGATATTTAATTGTTAGAAGGAAAACAGTGATAGACGCCAATCAATGTCAGTAGCACAATCTGCCCTATGGCTTGTAGCTCCTTTCATTCAAACTAAAAGTGGCCATTTTAAGGTTCAAAATGCAGGAGCACCCTTACTCTCTTACATACTGTAGGAACAGTAGACTGTGCAATACAGGCATTTGGTCTGATCCAGTATAGTTCTTCTTGCGTTTTTATGAAACTTGTAGTCTGGCAGAGCTTGGACAATTGCCTTTCAGACTGCAAATTCCAGAATCCTCCAACTATTGTGGCCACTAGCCATGATGACTGAGGGAAAACATGCCTTCATCATTAAGGTTTTTCATAGTGAAATTAAATGATAATTACATGAGGTAGGTCTTTCCTATTACCTATTATCTGCTTTTTAACTAGTGATAACAGGTCTGCATGCTGAATCTGCCAAAAAATCACAGGTCTACTCCATTTCAGAAGTGCCAAGGCCAGTTGTTTCTCAATTCTTGTGAAAAGCAGCTTTGAGCTGGAAACATGATATATGGAAATCCTCCAAACGCATCTACATGAGAAAGGTAAATTAAAAAAAAATTGTAAATTAAAACAGAACAAAACTATTTTTTTAAAAAAATGTTCAAAATGTCCACTGAACTATCTTGCCTTGGCTACCAGTAATCCATCAACAATTGTACTCCTGGCACAAAATATTCAAACTGAGTTATTCCTGGAAAGAGAAAGCACTGTGTTCATCAGATGCTCTTTTCTTGGGTTGATGGCTTTCTATTTCTATGTGTTTCTGTGACTGTAAACTTTTAGTAATTGTTTGTGGTGATAGTGCAAGATCCCAGAACAGAATTTGTAATTTGATGACGTAAAATAATATGTCCCAACCATGCTTCAGATTTATTTCTTATATTTAGAAAGTACGGACTTCAAAGTCTTTACTAATGAAGTTTGTCATGTTTCCCATAAGACTTTTTTCCCAGAGGTTAATATATTTGGCTTTCATACTGATGTCTTATTCTTTTTTTAGCTTTCTTAAATGACTCACATACAGACACAACGACCCTGGTTGATGTTTCTCCTACAGAACCTTGACTTATTATTAGGTTGGCTGTGCCTTTTCATTCTAGCTATATATGAACCAAAGATTAGAATATAATATAAATCTTCTCATTCTTAACACTGGAACACCACAAGGATATGTGGTGAGCCCTTTACTTGTTGTATACATATGATTGCACACCCATGCATCAAAATAATATTATTACCAAATTTTCAGATGATACAACTGTGGTAGGGCTTATTTCCGAAGGGGATGAGTTAGCCTATCAGGAGAAGAGGGCTGTTTTTCCTTTTGCAATGGGAAGGGGGAGGGGAGGGGAGGACGGCAGGATCAGAGAGAGATAAAGAGAGAAGGGGGGAGGGAGGGAGGGAGAGGGACTGAGGGACTGAGGGTCAGGAGGCCAGGAGAGAGGGACGGAGGGACGAGTGGATTTTTCAAGCCCTGACTATTAGTGTTGTAAGATTCAGGTGTCAATCTGATTGGTAAATTATGTGTGCATCATCTTACTCTGTACCTCAGTCACAAAAATTTCTTGGGCCATTCAGATTGTAGCAACATTATCATTTTTCTAGCAGTATGTTGATTGAGGTACTAAGCTTATTTTCCCCCTTTCAATGTATTTGCTTTTCTATTCTCCTGTACAGTTTGAAAAACACATTGTATAACAGTAAGGTGCATTTAGCTCGGTTAAGACTGTCAGACTTGAGAGCAGCAGCACTGAATAGCAGGATATATATTTTTATAGATTAAAGAGTGAACAATAATTCCAGATGCCCCTTTGAACTGCATTGGACAGTTTCCTCAACAAATAATATAAAAAAGGGAAGTTTCCATTTTGATATTCACAAGACTAAAAACACATAGCTGCTATGACAGGCCATGTAGAGAAAAAAGAAGACAAGTTCAGATAATGTCTGGACATCTAATGCTCCTAGAAGTAGAATCCACAAGTATTATAATTTAATAATACAGTGGTGCCTCGCTTAGCGATCGCTCCGTTGAGTGACGAAATCGCTTAGTGATGGGGTTTTGGCCATCGCAAGAGCGATCGCTTAGCGATGGTCCCTATGGGGAAAAATCGCTTTGCGATGATCACGGGGAAGCGATCATGGCAACGCGACCCTTTTTAAACAGCTGATTGGCGGTTTCAAAATGGCTGCCGGAAAAACAAAATGGCCACCCGCTGTGTGTCCTCGCTTTAGAGGCACTGAAAATGCCCGCCCCTATGGAGGATCTTCACGTAAGGTTAGTTTTGAAGCCCATAGGAACACATTAAACACCTTTTAATGCGTTTCTATGGGCTTTTAAAAATCGCTTTGTGATTAAATTGCTTAGGAATGTTTTTCCTGGAATGGATTAACGTTGCTAAGTGAGGCACCACTGTAATAACCAGAGCACAGAGTTCTGACTCCTGTACTCTGAAGATGCCGGCCACAGAGACTGGTGAAACGTTAGGAAGAAGAAACTTAAGAACACGGCCAAACAGCCCGGAAAACCCACAACAACCATCAGATCCTGGCTGTGAAAGCCTTTGAGAATACATTATAATTTAAGTTTATGGCTGGAATCCTGTTGGTATTCATATAATGCTTGCATAATTTCCTGTGGCTAACTGAAGAGGTGCCAGGTTACATTTCGGTGGCACAATCAGGCACATGACCAGTGACACAACTGAGATATGCCTCAACACTATACCATTTTGCGACACTTTGTTAGTGCAAATTATAAGACCTCATTAAGCCTTCCCCTGAAGCCATGTGAGTTAAGGAGGCACTTGTTTCTTCCAGGAAAGGCCAAGTCTGTCCACCTTGGCATTCATCAAGACATCAAGATAAACAAAGAACTTTCCAATCCAAGAGAGTGCTAAGCGGCTCAGCATGTTATAACAGAGAAAACAAAGTACTGTAGGCAGTATGAATGCTTTTCAGGGTCACAGAGTCAGACACTTGAAATAAATGACTAACGACAGTTGGCTGAAAGGCCAATAAATACCACTAGCCCAGTCAAAGCAGACTGCTGGATGCTGCTCTAGCTCTTCTTACATCATGGCAAACTGAACTTCTGCTGATTTGGCCTGTTGCAAATGGCTCCTATTTCCTCCCACTTGGCCTGCTGGATTGGCATGTACATGATTTATGGCTCAACTGTTGACTCTTACCTCCACTCTTGGACTCTCATTGAACTCTGAGGCCTTGGTATTTTACCTCAACTGCTGACTGAGTTCCTCTTGCTCCTGTTAATGGATACTTGTCTTACAATTTACCCCCACACCACCCCCGCTTTCTTCCTCCTATTGATAGGATAATTGCACACACAACTGAGAGCTATGGAGGTTGCTACATATTTTCCTCACTGCTTCTCTTTGTAAAAGTGTCCATTTATATCTAATAAAAATCATTGAGTGGGTTTCTCTGAACCCTCACTTTGTTTTTGAGCATCCTGCCTCTCATCAAGTTATTCACCAGTTTCAAAGTCTCTCTCTCTCTCTCTCTCTCTCTCTGTGTGCGCGTGCATGCGTGCGTGCTCGATACTGAGAAATTCAAAAGAATAGCTTGCAGGGCTTCCATCTGTAAATTTATGTTGTATGCCACAATATGCAGTTATTAAGTTTATGCCTGGGTCTGGAATTTGTATTTACATACTCCTAATTGAGACTACTTAGAAGCTGTTTTAAGCAACAGGAGAATATGAATATATTGATTTCACAAGTGGTCAGGGGACCAAACATAGAGGTTCTGGCTTAAAACATGCCACAAATTAGCTCCTTATCTTTTTTAAAAAAAATTAAAATAGATTTTGTGTATATGAGACAGCTGCTATAAATACATATCCTTCATAACTGGGATTTTGACTGTACTTTAGGAGTTCATGGCTCAAAAGAGATCATAACAATGATAGACATTTGGCATGGGTTTGAGGGGGTACAGAAGATTACATTTTGTGGTGGGGGAACATGCTGCAGTCTTCCACCTTCTAACAACTTGGAGTGCGAGAAAACATTAGATTTGTAGCCTGAACAAGCCATATCTAGCCTTAAGGCTTGGCATAGGTTCGGATGTGATTTGACAATATTGGAGACTTTGTGTGTTAACTATGAGTTCACATGTTGTGTTTCTGTAAACACTTTCATGTGGATGCACAAACACTGGCATTTGTGGCCCCAAACAGCCCATAACTAGTAAGCATATTTGGCATACATTCGGAGGTGATATGAGACTGGCAATTTGTATTCAGCACACCTTTTCTGTTGTCCTTGTTCTATCATAAAACTAAACAACTGGCATGCAAGAATATGCTAGCCTCAAGCTCACACATTCTTTGTAAATCTGAGCTGAACAGAAAGAGGAGTTTGGAAGCTTTTGCTTCTCTTTTTGACAAAGAAAAATATTAAAAGCATTATTCTTCCTTTTCAGCTAATTACAGTTACCTGGAACTAGGCTACCTCAAAACTGTTTATGAATCTGGCCTGTTTCAATAAATCATACTTAAGAATAATCAGTTTAGTGTTCAAATATGTCGCTAAACTGTGATTAATTAAATGTGAAGGTAAAAGCCTTTGATCTTTTGGCTCTTTTGGCTACACCTTAAGGGGATAAAAGAGTCATATGAACCAAAGGCTGGAACTGGTTTATTCATATAAGGCTATCAATCTGTTCCTTAACTCACAATTATCACATTGTTCTTTATTTTGTTTCATAAAAGTTTTGTATAAATATTTGGCTTATATTCCTACATGAACTGAAACCTTGCTTAGTTTGACTTAGTTTCACAATTTTAATTAAAGAGGTATACATTAATTCAGTATCTAAGAAAGATAATACAAGTTGTAACATTTTAAGTCCAGACTTTCAGAAATAAGGTTATGGAGAGACAAAACCTCATTTTATAAGGATGATTAAATTCTCCTGAATTCTACCATTCTCCTCATTTACTGGGAAAAGAACTCATCCCAAAATTTGCCAATCAGATAACTTTCTTGCTTGAACACAACCTCATGTTTTTTCCAAATTTGCTGTAAGCAAAACATAAGCCTAAAAGCACTGTGTTACTAATGTAACCATCCTTTTTTCCTGAATCATGGACCTCTCTATAAAATGTTAGCTCTTGCAGAAAGAAAAGAGCACAATCGATATAGGAGACTTGAAAATTTTTTAATAAAGCATATAAAGTCTGAGTGCCTAAAGTAATGTATTACCCATGATTGCAATTTTTACTGGACCTTGAAATAGCAGCCTGCTGACATAACAGCTCAAGTAATGTTACAGATGTTGTACAAATCATGGCTAAATGTAATGTTACCGTTAGCCAAGATGTGAAAACCAGTTTCAAATACTGCTTTTAATTCTGGTTGAAGCTAATTTTGGTTAATCCAATCTTGACTGAGTTTATTTTTTTTATATTTATTTTTCTTTTTTGCTCTCAGGTCCATTCTGATTTATCGTGATCCTTTTCAGGGTTTTGCAGGTAGAGAATACTCAGAAGTGATTTAACATTCCTGTCTTCTGGGGGTGCCCTGGAACTGTGCAGTTTGCCCAAGTCCACACAGGCTGGCTCTTCTCCTAGGAGGCAAAGTGTGGAATCAAATCCCTAACCTCTGGCTCCACAGCCAGATACATAAATCCTTGAGCTCTCCAGCCAGCAAAAGCAACAGAAAGAAACAATGTGGAATTTGAACAGAAACTGAGTGAAAAGGATAGAAAACAGATGACAAGTCCACACTGTCTTCTTAACCATCCGCTGAGTGGAAAGGATAGAAAACAGACAAGTCCACACTGTCTTCTTAACCATCCCAGCTTTCAGATCAACATGTTATTTGGAATATATATTTCTGACATGTGATAAACATCAAGGGGACCTTTCACAAATGCATGCCCATCAGCCTGCTCTTGAAAGCAGAGAACATGTATCAATTAAATGATGTCAGCTTAATAATATAGTCATCTCATGGGAAATATATAAAGGTGACAGACAAATGCAAAAATCCATGGATGGGGACTTGAGTTGTGAGACCCGCTGTCAAGTTGATCTTAAATTGCACCAATTACTCAGTTAGGATTTTCTTCTTCTTCTTCTTCTTCTTCTTCTTCTTCTTCTTC